CCAAAAAGTAAGAAAACAAATGCAAACTCATACGCTTTTAAAAAATTATAACATTTTATTTGTTTTTTAATATTTTTGGCTTAAATATATAAGCAAGCAAACGCATTTTATATATGAACTTAAAGATGGATTAATTGCCTTTATTTTGATATCATTACTTTTTTAATCGGTTACGTAGTTTATAAAATATAATTATTTTAAAATATCACAAAAATTTTCTTTAACCTTTTATATCTTCTTTACTTTTTAATCGCGGCAAATAATATTTATATAGTTGAAATCAGCGTAAAAAGTACTATCGGTCTGCATTTTTAGTTTTTCTATAGCTGAACGGTTGTTTATCTTGATGTGTTCCTTAACTTGTTGTTCAATTAGCACTGTACGTAATTGTAGTTAATGAACTTTACTTTAGAACCAACTACATATTCATTCATATAGTCTCATTACGTTTAGTCTGTACTAGTCCCCGACTAGCAAGGTTTACAAGATTCCGATGATATTAATGAAGATATAGTAAATGTGTGCATGGGAACGACTTTTGATTAAATCCTGTAAACAGGGATCAGGGGGTTATTAATCACTGGGTTTACCTTGCGACGTCAGCTCTTTCGACCAACGTATCCTTCTCATCCTTCTTTATCTCTAGATTGTTAACCTAAAAACGATTTATTAGACAAGGTTTCTTTAATACAGAACTGTCATACCAATCTAGATATTTCTTGATCCTCTGCTTTCTGTGCCCAATCCGACATTTTTTAATCTATACGAATTTCCAAATTATTCTCAAGTTCAGCGTCCCGTTATTACTGATCGACTAGTCCCAATTCCAAACAATTTATATTAGAGATTGCAGTATTAATCGAAAGAAAAATTTAAATCGAATTGTTTACACCGATGTTACACAAACAACTCCCCACTTTCAAGCTTGCACCACAAGAATGATAGAATACAAGATTGCCCGGNGTCCGATGATATTAATGAAGATATAGTAAATGTGTGCATGGGAACGACTTTTGATTAAATCCTGTAAACAAGGATCAGGGGGTTATTAATCACTGGGTTTACCTTGCGACGTCAGCTCTTTCGACCAACGTATCCTTCTCATCCTTTTTTATCTCTAGATTGTTAACCTAAAAACGATTTATTAGACATGGTTTCTTTAATACAGAACTGTCATACCAATCTAGATATTTCTTGATCCTCTGCTTTCTGTGCCCAATCCGACATTTTTTAATCTATACGAATTTCCAAATTATTCTCAAGTTCAGCGTCCCGTTATTACTGATCGACTAGTCCCAATTCCAAACAATTTATATTAGAGATTGCAGTATTAATCGAAAGAAAAATTTAAATCGAATTGTTTACACCGATGTTACACAATCAACTGGCCACTTTCAAGCTTGCACCACAAGAATGATAGAATACAAGATTGCCCGGCAAGCCGAATTTATACAAGGTAGTAGCGGCAGGAAATCTTTAGTTATTTTCCGGTTGTTTTTGGGGTGGGGACGGAGGGGAAGGGGCGTGGCCCCCTAAACCCCCCTCATTTGAAAGGGGACAGGCCCCACTTGACGAAAAGTCGAACCCCCCCCTTCGGGACCGCCACAGACCCCTAGGGAACCGTTAGAAAATGGGCGAAAAACGACATTTACCGAGGGCAATTGAGCTGTTTGAAGTGGAATATAAACCAACTAACAGATTCTGGGGGTTTTTAAATAAAAGAAATTATCCGACGGTGGTTATCAGGCGAAAGAATGGGGACTGAACACCTTCCTTTTTTGCGAAGAAAAGGAGCTGAACGTCTTTTGTAGAGAAAACCTTTCTGGGTAGGCGGCCTTCGGCCGCACTTAACGATTATAACCCTTACAAAGTAGAATTCTCTTTCTGTTTTGCGAAGAAAAGGAGGTGAACACCTTTTGCAGAGAACACCTTTCTTCGTAGGCGGCCTTTGGCCGCACTTAGGGATTATAACCCTCACAAAGTAGAATTCTCTTTCTGTTTTGCGAAGAAAAGGAGCTGAACACCTTTTGCAGAGAAAACCTTTCTGCGTAGGCGGGCTTCGGCCGCACTTAGGGATTATAACCCTCGCAAAGGCTGCATTTCTTTATTCATTCTGAACGTTTAGAATAAACTTTTTTGTTTATTTATTCTTTAGAACGTTCCTGATGAAATGCTGTATGTATTTCAAACGCATTCTGTTTATTCCGGCTGTGAAATGGGATTATCCGGAATATATAAAGAAACGCAGCCAAAATATAATTATCTTTCTGTTTTGCGAAGAAAAGGAGCTGAACACCTTTTGCAGAGAACACCTTTGTATATTTTTAATGCTTACTGGGTTATATCCTATCTTCTTTTGTCTCTCATTCTTTTGCATATTTTGGAGTTTGACAGCTGAACTCGTCCATTTAATTTGCATATGCAACCAAAGTCAGACGCGTGATTTTGAAGGTGTTTTTATTTAGGTCGGTGTTATGCAGACAAACTTTTGTTTGCCAAATTAAATGGCGGCTGCTTAGTTTGCTGGGAGGTGGTTATGTCGAGTTTGGCACAGGGTTGCACGTTCATTATGGTTTTCATGGCTATTGCCTACACGATGTATGTACATAACGCGCACAATTTAAAATTTTTGTATATGACAACACCGAATTTGCTGCAGTTTGACCATACAAAATTAGTTTGCAGTGAGAGTCGCCAAACTCGCTCTCTCCGAGTTTGCTACAACAACAATTGCACGCAGTTTGCCAAACAAAATTTCTGCATAACACCAACCTTAATGAATAGTGATTAATTGGTTAATATTAAAGTCATAAAGAAAGTTATAACTAATCGAGCAAAGTGTAAACTGAAGGTTAATATAAAAATATATTTGTGAAGTGGCTGCTTTAAGGAGAATATGAGTGATAAATGTACGCTAATTTCCGAATTTTACAAAAAAGGGCATATTTCAAACCCAATTTGCACATAAATTAGTGGCCAAAAATTACAATATTGGATGTTAAAATAATGTGTAGACCCTACCCTAATACCTCGAAATAGTTAGGCAACGTACTAAAGAGTACCCGTAGCGGCAGCTCAAAATCAAAAACTACACAAACAATTATACAAACATTGGCAATCAGTACAAAACAAAATTATAACAAATTTTGACAAACGGTACAAATTTGCCTTGAAATCAGCTGATCCGGTAACACCACCTTAAATGAATTCGCCTTGATAAGCAGGCCTGTTATAAATTCCGTCGGAATCCCCGACGTGCCAACGACGGGAAAATGCTATTATCACATACTGGCCGTCTCCACAGATTCAAACTTATTACTGTACAGCTGTGGTTGTTGTTATTGTTGTAGCGGCTACAACAATCCCGCCCAGATCGGTTAATGTCTCAGTCGTTGTCGTCAAGCTCCACTAACGGAAGCCCTAAGAAGCGTGCAGCCTCAATAGGGTCGGCCCACAGGACAACGGCGTTAGGTTTGTTGGGTTTTCCGGGCATACGACGAGATGTTTCTAGTCATGGGGTGTCTCTCCACATGCCGGACACTCATTTGGCACATCTGCGTCTAATCTGCTTAGGTATGAGTTGAACCTGCTACAGTAGCCAGAGCGAATTTGGGCTATTGTGGTTCTAGTCTCCCGAGGCAGATGAAGCTCCGCATCGTCGATGTCCGGTGGTGGTGCGCTTAGAACGGCATTCACAGGTATGGACTCTATGCCTGGAGTGAATGCCGCTCAGGGCCTGTCGATAAGCTGACGGGTCCCGAGGTTGTTTAATTAATGCTCTTACTCCGCTGCTATAATTGCAAATGCAATAGAATCCATCGTTTCCTTCAAATTATGCAAAATCTAACAATTTTACTATAAATAAGCCCTTGGTGAGTGTTTTTTTTTATTCCTTTCCGCTTTGTTATCCTTTATACAGCAATGCTGCACAGATTTCCGCATGGGTTTCAGTATGCCGATTTTTCGTTTTTCGTAACGTAGCTACGAATTA